AAGACATTTTATCTCAATGATTTGATAGTTTCAAGCTCTAAAAATTGATTTATATATGCACGCCTTACACATGTAGGTCTATAAGATTCCTGTAACTTTTATGTCATCTACATCGAAAAGTATTAAGCACTAACGGTTGTTCCGGTAGGTCCAAGCTGCCATTAGTATTACTGGTAATGGCGTCGCAATTAGATTTATAAGTCGAAGCGGAGACAGAGAAAAAATCTTAAAAAATGACTTAAAAATAGTAAACTGTAAGTTCTGAAAAGATTAGTGAGGTATAATAACTTGTTTTGTTTTGAAATGAACCCATGTTTTCTGAGTACGTTGCGGGAATAATTGTTAAATTCACCGGATCCGTAGTGGATGCAGTCTACCACTTTAATGAACAAGTTCGTTTTACCTCTAACGTGGGCCTATTCAATAAAACTGTAAATATCAATAACAACATAATACATGTGAATATTGACATTAAATTATCATGTTAGAGACAGAAATTATCGGTTTACGATTAGTAAAGCGATGCATACTCCTACTTCTTGGGTCACTATCCATTACAAACTGGTTTTATTTCAACAGTCCGATGTCTGTAATCGTCATCATGCATGAATTGTTTGGCTTTTATTCAGTCACGTAAATTTTTTCTCATGTTAAAATTTTCCACAACATATGGTAGTGTTACAAATTACCTGTACAGTACGTAGTCAAGTTGATATTAGATACGATTTTAATCAGATTCGTACACAGATGAACATCAAAATAAAACTATACTGTGCATACAAGTTAATATATACACAATAGACACATAACTTAACCTGTAAGTAATTATATATCTATCTACATACCAGCCTGTGTTCGTGTTTTATTGCGCGTCTATCTTAATACGTGATTTTCTTTTCATTACAATCTTAATACTTTTTTCAAACAGTTCTATACAGAAATATACAATGCAAACTCATATTAGATATTATACTACCATCTCGCTGACATTGTTCACTGTAATATGTAAAGAGTATGTCCGCTCACCTGTTCGCCATTGCTGCTGCTCAGCCTTGTTTAGCTGGTTAACGATTGCGACACGTCAGCTGTGGAAAACGAAAACCGAAAGTAGAATGAATTATATTTCTGAGAAAAAGAAAGAGAATGGGACGGGAAACACAATTTCTGAAAGAGTCAAACCGCACCTCGGTAATGTTATAATGCATGTAGGCACATGTAACCAGCCCTTGTTCGGTAGGGTATTATGAAGATCAGTGCTAATTATCAACTAAAAAATGTTGGCGATGGGTCGGTGAGGTCATTCCGGATTTTGTGCAAAACGAAATCCGAAAGTAGAATGAATTTTATCTTCCGAGAAAAAGAAAGAGAATGGGATGGCAAACCCAATTTTTTTTTTAAAGAGTCAAACAGCATCTCGTGAGATTGTGTAATGTTAGATTGTATGTAGGCACATGTAACCAGCCCTTGTTGGGTAGAGTATTGTGAAGATCAGTGCTAATTATCAACTAAAAGATGTTGGCGATAGATCGGTGAGGTCATTCCGGATTTTTCACGTCTTGAAAAATAAGACATAGTTGAAATTCTACACATCGTCAGCTGAACATGTTTAAACGTATAAATCTTCACAAGTACCCAACCGACGAGAATTATCAGTGCGGGTTAAACGTCCCTACATGCACATATGCTATACTGTATCATTACGGCATCAAAGGATGTCACGTGTATTTTCCATGTACGTTTATTGTGTAACACTAGGTACGGGGTCCAGGTGTAGTATTTCCCCACTCCAAGTGTAGGGTCATTGGTGAAGTCATACTTAATGCTAGATTCTTGTATTTCATAGTACAAAATGTTGGTTGAAGTGGATGTCTGTTTGCGTAATCAGGTGTCCATTGCACAATCTGTGAGCGTTTCTGTGCTAGCGGGGTTTTAGAGCCTTTTCTGTAAACATGAATATATTAAAGTACATGTAACATGCCAGGATTGGTATTATGTACTACGGATGTTGTAGTGATGGAGTATAGTACATTTGTTGTCTGGAAATTAATATTTGTCAAAATATCGGAACGTCTTCTGACGAAATCGGTCAATACATACACAAAGTTGAAAGTCATCTGTGCGTGACACATAGCTAATTACGGCGTATCGGTCAATCGTACACACAACACTTGGTCTCTAGCGATTAATTACCAGTTTAATTATCCAATCAAAGGTTGACTTCTTAATTTGAGTCACCATCCCGTAACGGTGACCTATTAAACAAAAACATTTCGCTTGGTTGCATGCATTTCGGGAATGATAAAGATGAAACCGTCAAACCAGTACAAACCTTTGACGAAATGTTATTACCATAATTCCGAGAGAGACTTATGTTTTAGCTTGTTTACTAAAGGACTGTAATCGGGTACTTTGCTTGATTTAGTACTTAGACAATGAAGTGCTGAAAGTATTCTTTGTCTACTACTTCTGTGATGTTTATATAACATGTTAACACTTTCTAGTGCCGCGTTTTTCATATTTATGATAACGTCATACTAATATGACCTATAGCTTTATACATCGTTTCCAGTAGCGTATCAAAAGCAAATTTAGTTTCGTTTTATTGTCATTTCGTAAAATATATTGTCTATATGTGCTTTGTCAGTAATAGTAGTGTACACGTGTGCGGGACGAAACGACGTGAGTGCCAATGTAGTTGATTGGTGTTGTTATTACATGTTTTGTTGTTTGGATAAATAAGCAATAAAAGGAGAAAGTAGAAATGTATTTGTTTCTGTTTATTTACTGCAATTTCAAGCAACCGATTAAATCACGCTGTTTGTACCACGGTGTACCGTGCTATAGTAGCCTGTACTTTGTTCAACCGTAATCAAAGTCAGGAAACTGATATCGTCAACCTTGTTTGAATCGAAATTCGAATAAGTCGAAATATTTTGCACAGTCCCATGAATTTCGAGATAACGAGTTTCGATTATATATGTACAGGTAGGGACGTCAAACCAGCTCCAACAAGTCTCGTCGGCTGGGAACTTGTTTAGATTTATAGTGTCAACTTTTAGTGTGATTTAGGTTCGTATAGTGTAGATAGAGATCTAGGCCAAGTTGTTGTCTTCACTTACCAAAGGCACCTGTATCCCAGCACGTGTCCTACCTTTTTGTATGAGGCTATAGAAGACTGGTTTTCGCTAGTGTTGTTTACGTTGCAGATACAGGAGCCTGTGTCATAACCCAGAAATCCTGTCATCATCTTCTCTCTATCATCGGTTTCCTCCACACAGCATCAAATTTAAAAGGGAGTCATGTGGAGCACCAGCTCATACGCTTATGTAACTTGAATTTCATACAAAAATCCGGAATGACACCTGAGATCCAATCACCGATATATATAAGTGGTTCTGCATAGAGCTTACAATGTATCTCAAAAATCCCCTAAATACTAATCTAACATTCAGGATGCGTCAGGACGATTTTAAAAAAAAATCACAAAAACAAAAACAGAAAGTAAATACAAAAGAAAACTACCCAATGTCGCCGAGATCTGGTTTCATCAAGATTACGTTTGGGGTAGAAAGATAAAAAAATTGTCATAGAGGATTGAATTGTAACAGTATACATTATGTAATTCAACCCATGTATATTTAGTACATCGTCCAAATATGTTAAACGGATATATGACAAAGACAAAATATCAGGAGATGTATGTTTATTATTGTCTTAGGTACAACACTATGACGTAATAAACAATAAACAAGTTCGACTGATCCGAAGAGTGATGTGAAATGTAACCAAACATTACTGTCAGCAACTCATCGACACTACAACATAAAACACATTAGTGTCCATCACCATAATAATGCCATTAAAAAATACTCATGATAAAGTCCCTCAGAAACATATTTGATACAATGTCACATACTTGTTTGTTTTTCAAGATTTTTCAAATACATAAACAATACATCAATTTGCAGGCATAAACACACATGGTATAATCGCCTCCTCTTCCTCCTCCTCCTCCTCCTCATCATCATCATCATCATCATCATCATCATCATCATCATCATCATCATCATCATCATCATCATCATCATCATCATCATCATTATACATTCATCATCATCATTATCATAACATTTATCATCATCATAAAAATCATCATCATCATCATCGGCATCATTACATTCTTCATCAAAATCATCATCATAAATTCGAAATCGATCATTTGAAAATAATGTGACGAGAGAGTAAAAAGATCCTAGAATAAAGTATACAAGTAGGTATCAATATACTAGGCTTCGCTTTATTTATTTAACGCTTGGTCATAGATGTGCGAGAGTATGTGGCACCTTGTTCTCGTTTAGTACCAAGCGCCTGGACAAGTAGTTTTCCCAGTCGACTATTTCCAACTCAATGATACGATTTCACTTCGTGGAATGATCTGAAAGTGCCGATTTATTGGTCTTATTGCAGCCAATAATGGACTATACTGGTCACTATGAAGAATTAGGGTCATTTTGAGGTGCGGTCTCTTTGCAGCAGCTGGCGTCTACCTCAATGAATAGCATACGGGAGACCAACCAAATGGCGTCAGCAAAGACCGGTCCGTTTCTCAACATCCCGAGAGACAAAAACATCCACAGTAAGCGAGCGTCGAACCACGCGCCTCGGATCTTCATCTTTGTAACGTGGGACGAGCCTCAGTTCGGCACTCACGGGAAAAAACCACAAGAGATACTGCAATACATATATATACAAGTTTATTTACACTACATACACTAAATATAGACAATAACACACTCGCATTCACCCACTCTATCTTCCACGCCTCTAAATGTTATACTACAGTCTCTTCACACACTATGAGTCTTCACATTTCTCCGAGGAAATACAGTCACCCAGTGGTCTTTACAGGTCCCGACTCGTCTTTCACCAGCTCGAGACGGTGCACAAAATGCAAACAAAATTTAGCCCACGGCTAACACAATAAATAGAACAGCATATGCCTATCAGCATCATTGGTCTCTCTCAGACCAGGATCTCCTATATCAACACTGCCTGCATAGCCCGCCTGACGTCCTGTCTGAACGTCCTGGTAGCTGACCACCGTGTTCCTGGTAGTTGCTGTTGCAACACTGGCTGGCCCTGTTGCATACCAGTCTGTTGCATACCAGTCTGTTGCAGGCTTTGGGTAGCCTAACTTAGTTGTCTGCCCGTCGTGTGAAGCTATAATAAACATGAAAAAATATCATAAATACTCACGCACATCCATACTTTAATCCAACTAAGACATTCCTTAACTAACTATATATATTACCATCCATTCTACTTCCCTTTATAAATACTAAACCTAATTGTACATACACCCCTACAAACATATTAAATTCTAGGATGCGTGACCATTTTCTTATAATAATAATGCAAAAACGCACGTATCACCGCAACCATATATGCTACTGAGTGGCTTCCGCACTTTTTACACCTGCGCGCACCCAACCTTTGCACAGGTAAATACAACTACTACTCAGGGCTTCCATAGATAAGCTACTCGAACAAAATAACGTTATTAAGCGAAATATACGCTTACAGGCAACTAAGTTACTTGTACATATCAACACATTATTTTACTATAATACCACATAAATCCTAATTACCTTATACTGTTAATTATGACATTTAAAATCAACACACCTGTATACTATAACAGCAAATAGTTACGCTTGAGTGGACACGCATCGATAGATAGATTGGTTGACCGGCAATAGGGACAATTAAAATATGGCACGAAATAGCCAACTAAAACAACAATTTATGAAAGATAGAAAGAATACTTACCCCAGTCAGATATCCGGGCTTCATCACACACGAATTACGGCTAGGAAATTAATTATAAACAGCTCTGCCAAACAATGGCCACTCCCCTCACCTGTCCAGCCCATGCACTACCCGTCCTTCTTCACACGTACACACCACGCACACGTGACCAATTCACTCATCATTCACAATAACAAAAAGATGTGCCTGCGTTCGTGACAATCTTATCCACATACATGTTTGCTTACTATGGTCATTATTCGGGCGTGTACTTTATCTTTATATATGAAGGAATTAGAGTTTTCAACACATTTTCATTAAAAATCACTGTAAATGTAGGTATTAAACCTTCATATATGACAAATCAGTCTGTAACTTACAACCTACTGTGGCTGCACGGTAATTCTCCAATAATTTCCTTCCATCATACACCGGTTGGTACAACGACTTCATAACGTCTTTAAATATCTTGCCGGTTTCAGATATATTGCTGTCAATGGCTGACTCTGACCGAGTCGACATACACGAACCTGTAGATTCAGGATCGTCATAAGAACACGATAAAGAACGAGGTAGGCCAGTTATTTGTTTAGGCCTCAGCATTTCTTGCCTGCTGTATAATTTTTCTTCCTTGACCTTTCAGAGGATTCCAAAACGTCTGTAGTTGTAAAGTAAACCGAATCTTTTTCACTTTTATTTGTACGCGTTTTATCTCCACCAATATCTTGTTTTCAACATTTTTCTTCTTTGAACCCTTTGTAGATTGTGATTTATCTTGACTGTATAAATATCGTGGTGGACATAAATCTCCATCAGACAATAATATACCTCCTGTAGGTAGATCATAGTCGCTTTCGCTGATATTGTATCTTGATTCCAAGTCTGCGTCTGTTGATAATAGTAGTGCTTTACCGCCACATCGCTTCAATCCGTGTTGAGTTTCTGTAATTTTTTGTGACCTGTCACTTGTTTTGCAGGGTGTCTGATAGTCAAATTAGACAACAGATATTTGACTAGTGGATGATCATAACCCTGTTATGCTACATTAGTACCAGTAGCACGTATGTCATCAGAAAATGATCTGGACATCTGTTCACCATGCTGCTAGTACATGTGACGTTACCATCTTCTGACACGTAATCTCTTGTTGGCTGCATTTTCCCTCGTATTATGACACAGGAATACATGGATGCTGTGACTCTGTTCTCTCGCATGCAGTATGGGGTCTCATTGCTATCCGGATGCTTTGTCAGTTGAAGTGGATTTGACAATGCAATCCAATATCACCAAACGATCCTTGTTCCATCTCGGTTTGCAAACTGGATTTTAATTGTAACCTTTCTCGTTTCTGATTTGCAATATCTTCTTTCATTTCTTTTAAGATTTCCTGGACAAAGGACCACTCTTTATCTCGTAACTGCTCGCGAACATATTCTTTTTCTACATTCGAAATCCTTCCCAAGCATATAGCTATAAAGATACAACACACTTCATAAAAGAAACGTGATAATATGAATGATCAGTTAGACAATGCATACCACGATCTTCGTAAAATAAAGAATATACAAGAGCGTAAATATCATGATTTAAAATTGAGTAATAGATTCAAAAGTCATTTGCACGTGCCATTCAGCGATATATTTTATAGAGAACAAATGTGTGTTATAATAAAAACCGCAAAATCCGATACATTAAAACGCAAAAACAATGCCAGGTATTTCAACAATACTCAGCACTGTGTAGCCAGCAAAAGCAATTTAAATACTTAATGATAAAAAATCAGTTGTTTTTTGTGTGGGTTCAAAGGTTTTCTAAAGATAAAATGCCACAAACTGCACAAACTTTTCATATCAGAGGAGATAGAGAAATTCGCCTTGGTCTGAGAAAAGCAAAACTACACATTCCTCAACAGGGTTTATTTTTAAATACCGGAAAACCGAAAACATTATCTAAATCACTATCCACATATATTTATTGTTTTGTTTGTATAAAATGAGTTCATAATTAACACTTAGTATTTTATCATTGCTATTAATTAGCTCTGTAATATGTTTATTCACTTAAAGAAGAACGTTCGTTTGTGTAACTACACAGCAATCGGTTCTATGTTTCCATTACTCTGATAAATATCTATAGGTCAATATTTTAATCTGAGATGGTGCCTAAATGGATTTATCTCTGGACTTATCCGGGATTAAAGCCCCTCAAAATGGTAGAGGATGGGACACACAGGAATAATAGAATTTAACAGAAACAGATGAAACAAAAAAGGCAACCGAAATGTTTGAAACGAGTCTTGCGTAAATCGAAAAACCACGAAAACAAAGATCAATAGGAATTCAGAATATTTAAAAACAGAGACAGAGCAATTGTGGTATATGCTGTTTTTGATAGAAAATAGACACAAAATATCGTTGTCCACTTTAAATTGTGTGATGTACTTTCAACCAATACTTCCGATATTAACATAACATTAATATTTATCACACCCTGTCTGTATTTACCGTCCACTGACGTACCACTGTTTTAGCATTTCTTATAAGTTATTTCACAGATAGAATCCAAATGACATGACAGCTTTCAGTGGTGATACAGCGCTTGAAGAATCCCTTATTATACTGAAGTAAAAGACATTCTGTGTAACTCGTCACAAGTACTGACGCACAAGACAGTATGTGTAGCTGGTCACATGTACTGAAGTACAAGGCAGTCTGTGTATCTGGTCACAAGTACTGAAGTACAAGGCAGTCTGTGTAGCTGGTCACAAGTACTGAAGTACAAGGCAGTCTGTGTACCTGGTCACAAGTACTGAAGTACAAGGCAGTCTGTGCAGCTGGTCACAAGTACCGAAGTATAAGGCAGTGTGTGTACCTGGTCACAAGTACTGAAGTACAAGGCAGCCTGTGTACCTGGTCACAAGTACTGAAGTACAAGGCAGCCTGTGTATCTGGTCACAAGTACTGAAGTATAAGGCAGTGTGTGTACCTGGTCACAAGTACTGAAGTATAAGCAGTCTGTGTAGCTGGTAAAGAGTAATGAAGTACAAGGCAGTCTGTGTAGCTGTTCACAAGTACTGAAGTACAAGGTAGCCGGTGTAGCTGGTCACATGTACTGAAGTATAAGGCAGTCTGTGTAACTGATCTCAAGTATTGACGCACAAGGCAGTCTGTGTAGCTGTTCACAAGTACTGAAGTACAAGGTAGCCGGTGTAGCTGGTCACATGTACTGAAGTATAAGGCAGTCTGTGTAACTGATCTCAAGTATTGACGCACAAGGCAGTCTGTGTAGCTGTTCACAAGTACTGAAGTACAAGGTAGCCGGTGTAGCTGGTCACAAGTACTGAAGTACAGACAGTCTGTGTAGCCTGTCACAAGTACTGAAGTACAGACAGTCTGTGTAGCTGGTCACATCTACTGAGGTACAAGACAGTCTGTGTATCTGGTCACAAGTACTGAAGTACAAGACAGTCTGTGTATCTGGTCACAAGTACTGAAGAACAAGACAGTATGTGTAGCTGGTCACAAGTACTGAAGTACAAGGTAGCCGGTGTAGCTGGTCACAAGTACTGAAGTACAGACAGTCTGTGTAGCTGGTCACAAGTACTGAAGTACAGACAGTCTGTGTAGCTGGTCACATCTACTGAGGTACAAGACAGTCTGTGTATCTGGTCACAAGTACTGAAGTACAAGACAGTCTGTGTATCTGGTCACAAGTACTGAAGTACAAGACAGTATGTGTAGCTGGTCACAAGTACTGAAGTACAAGACAGTCTGTGTAGCTGGTCACAAGTACTGAAGTACAAGACAGTCTGTGTAGCTGGTCACAAGTACTGAAGTACAAGACAGTCTGTGTAGCTGGTCACAAGTACTGAAGTACAAGGCAGTCTGTGTAGCTGGCCACAAGTACTGAAGTACAAGGCAGTCTGTGTAGTTGGTCACAAGTACTGAAGTACAAGACAGTCTGTGTAGCTGGTCACAAGTACTGAAGCACAAGGCAGTCTGTGTAGCTGGTCACAAGTACTGAAATACAAGGCAGTCTGTGTATCTGGTCGCAAGTACTGAAGTACAAGACAGTCTGTGTAGCTGGTCACAAGTACTGAAGTACAAGGCAGTCTGTGTATCTGGTCGCAAGTACTGAAGTACAAGACAGTCTGTGTAGCTGGTCAAGTACTGAAGTACAAGGCAGTCTGTGTAACTGGTGACAAGTACTGAAGTACAAGACAGTCTGTGTAGCTGGTCACAAGTACTGAAGTACAAGGCATATCAAATCTTGTTTTATCGATTAAATCCAAATTAGATTGTGATTAACTACAAACTCAGGCGAACCTACAAATGAAATATGAAAATAAACCATTGGATACTGCTCCAGATATAGTGATAACAAACTATACTGAGAGGAAAAAGAAACGCAATTAGGAATTTCCAGGTCAACTACGGGAAATAGAAAAGGGTTTTAGAATGTAATTATGGTGTAACTGGAAGATAGTTGATCTCTCTGTCATCTAAGGGAATTTCATTGTGTACGTTAAGTAAACCTTTCAAATTTGACGTTGATTCTAGAGTACCCCACCTCAAAATGAAGTGCGTTCTGGACCCATCAATATCGTGTGTGCTGCGAGATAACCACGCCAAACCCTCGCTACATGCGGCCGGGCGTTGTCCTGCTGAAACGTCAGTTGACGCTGCTGTACTAGAGGAACAACATGCGGCGCCAAGACTTTATCTTTATAGCGGACGGCCGTGAGATTTCCCTGAATAATGACCAGAGGAGTCCTGATACCATGCGCAATCCCTCCCCATACCATACCAGACTTTGAACCAATCCTTTATACTGGGTTCGAGATATCGTGCTTTTGTCTATTATTCTTTTGTACAAGCGTCGTGCGCAGTTTAGTTATGCATCAGTGATTTTAATACAGTACCATAGGGACCTAACTCAAACGCACACATTTGTCAAGTTTCAAGGGTGTACGTCAAGGATTTAATTTACAATATTAACTGTCTGCTAATTGCGTTTCTTTTTCCTCTCAGTATATGATTTTTTCAGTTCCATAGTAGATAAAGCACAACTAGGTACCTAGTCTAAATTTCATGGGAGTGATCCATCCAGTGCGTCTTCAGGTACAGCAATAACATATAATGACGAGAGACGACGAGCTATCCGATAACCCCACCATCCGATGCTAGTGGACTAAAAAGACGACAAATCATATTTATACATGTAGTAAGAGTGACCTCACTCTTTTTACTGCTGGAGGTTGAGGTGCGGAATAGGACAACAACTGATGGTTTAGAACTAGTATGAAGTTCCATGGCAATCTGATAAAAATTTAAGTCTGTGAAGCGAAGTCTTTGAAAATCTATTATTGGTACCAGCTGCATCGATTTTGGCCCTAGGAAGTTTGGACGCGAAGTCGCACGGGAAGTATGTTAGAACAATAAATTAACATGTCACCAGAACCTCAAAATCAGATGAAACCATTGACTAGGGGAAATGGATGACAATAACTCACTCAATCACAC